GAAGGCTAATCAAGAAGAATTTGCTGTTGAAATTTTTACAAAAGCCGAGTCGATTATAGAAGTTACTGTCGGAATGTATAATGCTATGATGGGTGTTTATGCAAGGAATGGTAATTATGATAAGGTAAAGGAGATGTTTGATTTAATGCGTGAAAGAGAGTGTGAGCCTGATATTGTTAGTTTCAATACTTTGATTAATGCAAAGGTGAAGTCTTGTGCTATTGTGTCTGGTTTAGCTATTCAGCTTTTGGATGAAGTAGGTAAGTTTGGTCTTAGACCAGATATAATAACTTATAATACACTTATAAGTGCTTGTTCTAGAGAGGCTAATTTGAAGGAAGCAATTGTTGTTTTTAGTGACATGGAGACTAACTGTTGCCAACCTGATCTTTGGACTTATAATGCTATGATTTCGGTTTATGGTAGATGTGGGTTTGCTTTGAAAGCTGAGCATCTTTTTGAAGAATTGAAGTCTAAGGGATTTTCGCCTGATGCAGTAACATATAACTCTTTGTTATATGCTTTTTCGAAAGAAGGAAATACAGAAAAGGTAAGGGATATTTGCCACGAAATGGTGAAAATGGGGTTTGGCAAGGATGAAATGACATACAACACTATTATACACATGTATGGGAAGCAGGGCCGGCACAAGGAGGCATTGCAGCTTTACAGAGACATGAAGTTATCTAAAAGGAACCCTGATGCGGTTACTTATACAGTTTTGATCGATTTGCTTGGGAAAGCAAGTAAGATTGAGGAAGCTGCAAAAGTGATGTCAGAAATGTTGGATGCAGGTGTTAAGCCCACTTTGCACACATATAGTGCTTTAATTTGTGCTTATGCAAAGGTTGGGAAGCGAGCAGAGGCCGAAGAAACATTTAATCGCATGCGCGAGTCAAATATCAAAGCTGATCATCTAGCATACTCGGTTATGTTGGATTTCTTTTTGAGATTCAACGAGGTAAAAAAGGCTATGGTCTTGTATCAGGAAATGATTCAGGAAGGCTTCACGCTGGATAATGGTCTTTATGAGGTCATGCTACCTGCGCTTGTGAGGGAAAATATGGGGGATGTTATTGAGAGAATTGTTCAAGATATGGTAGAGCTGAGCGGTATGAACCCACATGATATTTCATCGGTTCTTGTTAAGGCGGGATGTTACGATCATGGTGCCAAAATGCTGAAAATTGCCATCCGCAATGGCTATGAATTGGATCGTGAAATTTTCTTATCCATCATGAGCTCATATAGCTCGTCTGCTAGATATTCAGAAGCATGTGAACTTCTTGAATTCTTTAGAGAACATGCTCCCAGCGACGTTCAAATGATCACAGAAGCACTCATCATTATACTTTGCAAAGCTGGAAAGCTAGATGCTGCCTTGGAGGAATACAGAAATAGAGGAGGACTTGGTTCATTTACGAGCTGTACGATGTATGAATCTCTCGTTCAGGAATGCATGAAGACTGAACAATTTGACATAGCTTCTCAGCTTTTCTCGGATATGAGATTCAATGGTGTTGAGCCATCTGAATGTCTCTACCAGAGTATGGTGTCTGTATACTGCAGAATCGGCTTCCCGGAGACAGCACACCATTTGTTGTATCATGCAGAGAAAAATGACATTATACTGGATAATCTAACTGTTCATATTATTGATATCGTCGAAACATACGGAAAGTTAAAAATGTGGGAAAATGCAGAAAGTATAGTGGAGAATCTTAGGCAAAAATATTCAAAACTCGACAGAAAGGTCTGGAATGCTTTAATACATGCTTATGCATTCAGTGGTTGTTACGAACGAGCAAGAGCTATTTTTAATACAATGATGAAAGACGGCCCTTCCCCGACCGTAGAATCCGTAAATGGTCTCTTACAAGCTTTAATTGTTGATGGAAGATTGAATGAGCTTTACGTTGTAATTCAGGAGTTGCAAGACATGGACTTCAAAATTAGTCAAAGTTCTATTCTTTTGATGCTTGAAGCGTTTGCTCACGCAGGAAACTTAATTGAGGTGCAGAAAGTATACAAGGGAATGAAAGCTGCTGGTTATTTTCCTACCATGCATCTTTACAGAGTTATGATTGGATTGCTGTGCAGATTCAAAAGAGTAAGGGATGTAAGAGTCATGTTGAATGAGATGGAAGAGGTGGGATTTAAGCCCGATCTTCAAATTTTTAATTCTGTACTTAAATTATATTCAAGTATTGAAGAATTCAAACACATGGGGGATACTTACCAGAGGTTGCAAGATGCTGGTCTTACTCCAGACGAGGAAACTTATAATACATTAATTACAATGTACTGCAGAGACCGTAGACCAGAAGAAGGTTTGTCGTTGATGCATAAAATGAAAAGTCTTGATTTGGAACCTAAACGAGACACGTACAGAAGCATGATTGCAGCATTCAGTAAGCAGGAACAGTATGATCAGGCCGAGGAACTTTTTGAAGAGCTTAGATCGAATGGTTATAAACTGGACCGCTCCTTTTATCATTTAATGATGAAAATGTATAGAACTTCTGGGGATCATCAGAAAGCTGAAAATCTGGTAGCCATGATGAGAGAAGAAGGGATAGAACCAAATACTGCAACCATGCATATGCTAATGGTTTCTTACGGTAAATCTGGGCAACCTGAAGAAGCTGACAAAGTCCTTAAAAGCTTGAGAACAATGGGAGCAGTTCTGGATACCTTGCCTTATAGCTCTGTTATGGATGCATATTTCAAAAAAGGAGATGTGAAAGGCGGAATTGAAAAGCTTGCAGATATGAAGGAAGCAGCCATAGAACCAGATCATCGAATATGGACGTGCTTTATCAGAGCTGCAAGCTTGTCTGAGGAAACAAATGATGCTATTTATCTTTTAAATGCACTACAAGGTGTTGGATTTGATCTTCCAATCAGGTATCGATTAGTGTTTTTTTTTGTTGAAGTTTTTGAGAAGAAGAATTGCTTTTCATATTTCTCTAGTTAATTCATTATATCAATGTTATATAGGCTTCTAAGAGAAAAATCCGAGTCGTTAGTTTCTGAGGTTGACCAATGTCTGAAGAGACTAGAGCATGTGGAAGATAATGCAGCTTTTAACTTTGTCAATGCTTTGGTGGATCTCTTGTGGGCATTTGAACTCCGAGCCACTGCATCGTGGGTTTTCCAATTAGCAATCAAGAAAAACATTTATCGCCATGATATATTCAGGTAAGCAGTATAGAAAATGAAGTTTTATTTTCCGAAAATGTTACTTTCTCTGTTTGGTTACTGATTGCATGTATCTTTATCAATGGCAGAGTTGCTGAGAAGGACTGGGGGGCTGATTTTAGAAAGCTATCTGCCGGCTCAGCTCTTGTCGGTCTTACATTATGGCTTGACCATATGCAGGTAAATTCTCTTTCCCTCCTAAATTGCTTTCAAAATTTTCTGTGGATTTTGGCTTCTAAATTCTAAGGTGTTCAAAAATATGCTGTTATTTTCATGGAGATGATGCTTGTAAACTTTTGAGATTTTGCTTGAGCCTATGTTTCCTCATTTAATTCGACCGAGCTTATCTATATTCGACCTTAACATTTGGACTTCAATGTCATGGCAGGATGCCTCATTGGAGGGCTATCCAGAGTCACCAAAATCAGTTGTACTTATAACAGGAACAGCAGAATATAACATGGTATCGCTGGATAGCACATTAAAGGCGTGCCTTTGGGAAATGGGATCGCCTTTTCTTCCTTGTAAGACACGTCACGGTGTTCTTGTAGCCAAGGCTCACTCTCTCCGAATGTGGCTAAAAGACTCCTCGTTTTGCTTGGATCTCGAGTTAAAAGATTCACTGAATCTCCCTGAATTAAATTCAATGAAACTTATCAACGGATGCTTTATAAGGCGCGGGCTTGTTCCAGCCTTTCACGAAATTACTGAGAAACTAAAAGTTGTGAGTCCCAAGAAATTTTCTAGATTGGCTTTATTGCCTGATGATAAGAGAAGTAAAGTCATGCAAGCTGATGTCGAGGGAAGGAGAGAGAAGTTGGAAAAACTAAAAAAGGCCGACCCTCGACAAGCGATGAAGATAAAGAGGATCAGGAAGAAGAAATTTATTCGGGAAGCTTTTGAGCACCATGGAAATGCAATTGGGAAACAAAGGACTTTCAAACCAATTGCTGCAAATAAATCGATGGAAAGAGAGAGATTCGACGACAGATAAGTTAAGGTAAAGTTGTTTGAAATCTTAGCCCATAATGTTTTATAGCAGAAGCTTTCATGAAGCGTGCTGTAACAGAAGCTCTATAGCATCAACTTGTCCTCTTTAGTGCAAAACAAGCAGTGTAAGGCCAATTGCCAAATCTTGTACAGAAATTGTCGACAAAAAACTGTTATAACAAGTACTTTATTGAGTTGTTAATCTCGAAATCATTTATGACGACAATAATACAATATACTCCTAACAAGGCTTTCAATCAAATAAAATAAATAAATAAAAATTGTATCTGTCCGTTTATCTCATTCACTTTAAAAATATCTACCATATTAAGAATTGTGGAGGCCTATTAGACAAAGTAGTTTTAATTAAGGAAAAAGAAACAAACTTTCCTTGATTAGGATCTAAGTATACTAAAAAAATCATATTATGCCATTTAGAGTTATATTTTCAAATAATAATAATATGAATTTTTAGAAGATACGGGGGTTTGAAAATTAGCCGCCAAGAACTTGGTAATGCAGTTTCCATTTCAAGCCCAAACTCAAAAGGCCCAACTCAAGTATTTCTGAGCCCATTTCAGATCTCTTTTTCCAGACCACAACAAACCGAAGCTAACCACGTAGCGAATCTGCATCAAACCGTCTTCCCTTGAATTTCGTTCCTAATCGATTGAGGTAAACTAAATTTTCCTTCTAGAATTTCATTTTATAATTCTTATTGTGTTTTCTGCTCTGCGATGAAAAATCCAATTCATAAGGTTGAGCAATCTATGAACTCGTATGTTGTTGCAGAGAATTGAAGAACTAAAATGGGAGGAACCAGAGGGCAAAAGCTTTCTGGAATGCAAAAGCAAGTACTTAGTTTATACAGAGGATTTCTGCGGGCAGCACGTTCTAAACCTGAGGAGGAACGCTGCAAGATAGAATCCGTAGTATGTCAAGAGTTTCGGCGTAATTCCAAGGAAGTGGATCGGAAGAATTTTCAATACATTGAATATTTACTTCGGCGTGGCCATAAACAGCTTGATCAGCTCCGGAACCCTGGCACCACTGGCTTATCTTCTTTGCAACTTGATTTGTCTAAATGAAACTTTAAATGTTGTCAATTTATTACTCAAAATTAACTGAGTATTGAGATGCTTGCCTTTTTTTTATACAGAAAAATAAAGGAATTGGTTGATGTGGACTTTCCTTTGATTATACTATTGTTAAAAATAATGTTTTACTTGTTAGTTAGCGCTACTAAGCTACTTTGTCATCGCTGAGTTTTTCTTTTTATAAGGTGTCATCACTCTGAGTGAAGTAGCCAGATGAATATTGCAATACATCATCATGCTTGAGACACGGATAATCTTCTTTTTTTCGTAACAAATGCATACTTTCAGTTTCAGAGACACGTTTTAACCTATATTAAACTTATGTCGCCAAGTTTATTAGATATTATCAAATCCAATCAACTAGTCTATTCACTATCAACAAGCTTGATAGTTAACCTATATTAAACTTATGTCGCCAAGTTTATTAGATATTATCAAATCCAATCAACTAGTCTATTCACTATCAACAAGCTTTTAACCTATATTAAACTTATGTCGCCAAGTTTATTAGATATTATCAAATCCAATCAACTAGTCTATTCACTATCAACAAGCTTTTAACCGCCAAGTTTATTAGATATTATCAAATCTAATCAACTAGTCTATTCACTATCAACAAGCTTAAAAACTATCGACTAAAAGTCCACCCAAAAAATAATCAGTTACTTTTTTGCTAAAATATACTTGGCAGAAGGCACTTAATAGAAAGTTGAAATTAAGTTGAACTATGCTGTGAAACAAAAAATTAAGGTAAAGCTATAACATTGCAAGACTGCATAATATTTCGAGATGAGAATAGGAACTTCCGCAAAGCATAAAAGTTACAACTGTCTCCTTTTTTTTTTTAAAGGCTTTTGATAAAACATAAGACTACGGATTTCTATATGATAAGCTTAAGAAACCGCATCAGTGTTTTCAACAAGAAAATTTTTAATTTCAAGTTCACAATTCAAAGCAGTACAAATTACAAGAAACTGAGCAGGTTACACTAGAAAGGACAGTGATCTAGAAGATGCTAATACTATATAATAAGGACATTGATACCAAAAAAATACAATCTTCATCGAGGAGCACCGTAAACTTGGGTGGAGTCATATTGGGGATACGCAGGCTGAGGTGATACTGTTTTGCCATACGCAGCTGGAGCAGTTCCTGCTGCTGGTACAGCTGCATAAACTGCTGGTTGTGGGTTAGATTGGTCGTAACCAGCTTGAGTTTGCGTGGGTTGAACATAACCTGGCTGCCCGGTTGGTGCTGCACTATATGCTTGTGCAGCTCCGCTGCTGTAAGCAGGATCTTGGGGCACTTGGTAACCATAAACTGCATTGTTAGAGGCTGGTTGTTCAGCGGCGTAAGTCTGCTGAGATGGGTATGATCCATAACCGGTAGGACCAACTTGAGCATAACTAGCTGCAGGCTGAGCACCTGGTTGCCCGTAACCGGGCTGTCCTCCTGGCTGGGTATAAGCTTGTCCAGGAGCAGATTGAGGGTGACTGTAACCATCTGCAGCTGGGGCAGACCCATATGTGGGATATGCTGCTTGTGCTGGCCCAGTTGATGCATAAGGATATGATTGCTGCATTGTGCCATATGATTGTGCTGGAGTAGAACCCTGATATTGAACTTCACCTGGTTGAGTGGCTCTAGGGTGGCCATAGGACTGTGGATGTTGTCCTTGTGAAGGTGGCATGCCATACAATGGTGGCTTACCATACTGCTGTTGAGGTGCATAATTCGCTTGAGCACTGGCTTGAGGATAGTTTGGCTGAGAATTTGGATGTCCTCCATAAGGATATTGCGCAGGGGCACGATTTTCATACTTCGATTCATCATAACCTTGTCCATAACCTTGTTGAGGATGTCCTGCCTGCTGATAAGGTGTCTGATGCCCATAATCCTGGCCCTGAGGCTGTCCATAATTGTAATTCACCTGAGCAGGAGATGGGCCCATGGAGGGTAAAGGAGAAGGTCCGGCACCATGATGGGGGACTGAACTGGGATGCTGGGCAGATGATGGAGCCTCAGATGAATGACTCCCTTGTCCACCATAATAATCATAACCACCATTATGTGAGGGTGGCCCCTGCAAACTCTGGTGAGGCCTTTGCTCCCAACCAGAACCATAACTGCTCCTTGGAGCCATATGTTGAGGATAATTCCCATATGGAGTAGGAGCATATGATTGATTGTGAGAAGGATATGGCCCGCGATGTGGATAGTCATATGATTGCGGGTGGCCATAATGTGAGCCTCGCTGACCCCATTGGGGTGGACCACCAGATCCTCGAGGTGGACGGTAAGCCTGCTGGCCAAAACCACCTGTTGATGACCTGATAGGCTATACAAGCACAGCATACAAAAGTAAGTAAATAGGAAAAAATAATAATAATAACTTGATAGGCTATAAAAACACAGCATACAAAAGTAAATAGGAAAAAATAACAATAACCAGATAGGCTATACAAGCACAGCATACAAAAGTAAGTAAATAGGAAAAAACAATAATAACCATAATCATATCAGTGTAAGTTGACTAAGCCATAATAGCAAAGATGCAGCTATAGCGATCCAATTGAATATTAAAATCTGGTTGCCATGATAGCCAAGAAAAAATATTTTTATTCGTGCATATTTTCAATTGCCACGATATAAATCTGGTTGAAGGACACACTCTTCAAAAAACAATAAGGTATAAATAATTTTCTCAGGACAATTTCAGAAGTATACAACATTACAAATGTGGCATGTTAAGACTATTATCAAAGCTTCTATTGAATGTCAAGTGGCAACATAACAAGCACCGCTATCAAGATAATGTGTAGCATGTCATATCTCAAAGCTAGCTACGGTAGATGATCAAGTGAACAGCTATACAAATAAAAATTGTTTGATATTATCACAAAAAATACACCACCTTAGCAAATAAAGGAAAGTGAAAAAAGGTTGACAATGCAAAAACAACTAAGAATGACTATAAGCTAAGTTTCAATCAATCAATTTCACAATAACTTAACTAGACAAATATGGTGAATCTTACAAGAGGTGACAGCCTGATATACTTCTGTAGCTTTCAACATACCAACATATTCTAGATATATTTATTCAAAAACAGAATAAAGTGATAACTGAACCAGTTTGATACAGCAGTGATCACTCACAATACAGATGGTGTCAAAGTTGCCTACAATCGCCATATTCCAAAAGGGAATGATAATGCATAGCAAACGAATACAGTTGATTAAGCATGATAGTCTTCACTCTCTTAGAAAAATCCACAAAAGCACATTTGAGTATACAACACTCAAATCAAGTTTTAATTTAACCAAGATGATCAAGCGAGCTTCTTTTAGATAATTTCTCAATCCACCACTGTATATTCTCAGAGGCCCCCAAAATACACTACTGGAAGGATACTTCCGATAGCTAATAGAGGGGAGGATTGGAATATTATCTTTCTTTTATATGTTGCACTTAAAACATTAACTTAACACTCGTCTAATATATGTTAGTCTCTGCAACCGGGAGTATCATCAGGTCAAAGATGTGTTAGAAAGCGGATAAATGAATATATTTGTGCTGATTCTTGATCATATGGCAATCGTAGTCTTTTCAACCAAGAATATCATCAGGTCAAAGATTAGTTAGAAAGCAGGTAAATCAACACAACATACTTGTACTGGTCTTGGATCACACGGCTACCTTCATTAAAATCTACCCAACATCAACGCAGACCAGATGACAAGAATTATTTATTGCGGTTTTTCTAATTACAGAACTAGATAGAGGAATAGAACTCCAACACAGTTAAAATCATCAAACGACATGGACTTCACCAGGTATGACTCTTTTCTTCCAAAAGGTTGCATACAAATCATACAGCTGCTCTTTTTGAGCGCCAAGGCCAGCAAATATAGTCTTACTGAATCATTATTTTTAAGTCTTGAAGCAATCTTACCAACCATTAAACATCCTGCTATCGGAGTTTTTAATGCCTGCCACATCTCTTCAGAGCATGAAAGTGAATATGCTGTCTATGACATCAAGAAAGCAATGCTGACCCCGAGGAAAAGGCAATGGCCAAATCTGCATTTTTAAAGCCAACCAATTCGAAATTGGCACCTCAAGAAAAATAAATCATTGTAACTGTCATCTTGGTTTACATATATCATCTTCCTAAAAGATTTAATTGACCTTGGCATGGATTATTGTTCAAATTCCAAACTCATGAAGACTGTTTCATGTGATCTATCTCACTTGCATGGCAACAATTGATACAATATTTCCATAAATGAATCAAACAGACATCAAATACATGACACTGGCGCACACAATCACGTTTTCTATTATGTTTGCAAATGCAACTGTAGAGCAACATTAACGCAAACATAGCAAACATAAAAGGGTTTGTCCATATCTATTTTAAACATGCTAACAATATAGGAAATAAATGTCTAGATCTTTTTTTACAGGGATCCTTACAACGGGCAATTATTCTTCAGAACTACTATTTCATTGCATGATGGAATCAAATGAAGTGATAAATAGAACTCATACTACAAGAACAATGTCAAAATCAGTCACCGGTGAAATATCTTAACTGGTCATACATGCTTTCAACCAGCTGCAAAACATAGAAAAAGCTTCCATATACTACTTCAAACTTACCCAGTACCATGATACTAATGAAGAACGACAGCACATTGCAACCAATTTAAGCTATATAACCCCTGGTCACTATCCAATCAGCATGACATATAAACCCCAGTCTACCATAAAAAGGAGGCATAAGTTGGCACAAAAAAGGGTCTGGACACATGCAAGATAATCAAGGCTAGTTTAAGTCGAAAAATTTATTGAGTGACTGAACTAGTTTAGGCACACCATGTTTTAAACATGAAAATACAACAAAAAAGTTACAATAGAGAAAGAAATATCAATAATATATCAAAAATCAAAAGGTTAGCATTGATATCATAGCGTGGTAAACTGAA